TTTCATGTCATTTAATTTACTTGACGACAGAATATTTCATAATGCTAAAATTCAAATCAAATACTGCCACTCAGAACATATTTGGAACAAGAGACTCATAGAAATCAATCAGACATACTCCAAAATAAACCATGTAATCTACTGGTAGAAGTCGCCATCCATCCACTTTGAAACTGTGACTCATTTGTGTACTTTTATCAATCTGAACAATGATGCATTATTGAATGCAAAGAGAACAGCACTTTAAATTGGCACATCAAACATTAATCTTTCCAGCATTGAGAACATACTTAAAACTTGCAAATTACGAATGTAGCTCGTTGTGATCTTTCCAGCATTGAGGAAACACTTCAAATTAAAATGAAAACACAGCTTTCTGACTATACAACTACAAAATGATAAAGTTTCAATCTTTCAATTATTTAAGAATACAAAAGGCAATTACTTATGTTACCTCTGAATGTTCCTCTGCCTCGTTTCCCGTAAGAAGCCCTCCTCACACTCCCTCTTGATAAACAAGAGCTCCCTAGCACCAATGCTCAAGGCCAAGGTTTGCTTCCTCACTATTGAATCCTCGATCTCCTCAATTCTCTCCCATATCTCATTATACTCACTGTCCCATCTCCTCATTTCTTCCTGTAATCTCTCAATTCTTTCATCACCTCCTTTTGCTTTCTGTTAGAAATGTCACACAATTGGCAATAGAAATGATGAGGAACAAACAAGTGATAAGTATCGAACAAGTGATAAGGAGACCAGAAAATCTTGGAATGAGTTGTTAATTTGATGTTTGGGTGGACATTAGTCACAAAATAGTGGAGAGTTGTTATCCTTATTTTATTATAAGTAGGAATAAATGTGTGCTAGGTGCTTATGGCATATGGTCATTGATAAGTGTGTTTTTGCACACTTATTTAGGTCACAAACATGATTTAATTACGAGCAAAATGATTGAATTGTGACCTAATTTCGTTACATTTGTGAATTGTAGGGAACGCTGATGAACATGGTGAATACATGAGAAAAGACGCGAAAGGGACTAAAATGACACAAAGTGAAA